CCAAATCTAAACCGGACACCAGTGGGTCAAGCCCGAGCATGACGGATGATGATGCGGCGATGGAGTACCCCATCTTCGCTCTGATGCGGTGGTCCGCTAGTCCACGAACATGGGGCCGGGGTTGGTGTAGAGCTCTTCGTAGTGAACCAGGCTCTGCTCGCCTTCCAGGGGGCAGGGCTGGCCGCCGCGGAAAGCCCACTCGCCGCGGTCGCAGTTCGCGGCCACGACATAGCCGTTGATGTAGAAGCGCCGGTCCATGGCCGAACGGTTGGGGCCGGAGCCGTGCAGGGTGTGCACGTGCCAGAGCGCAACGTCGCCCGGCGCCATCTCCAGGGTGCGGACATTTGCCGTGTCGACGCCCAGGCGCGCGAGGTCGGCGGTATCGAGCGCTTCGTGCATCGACGGCTTCTCGGGGTCGAAGGGCAATTCCCCCAGGCGGTGGCTGCCGGGGCAGACCACCATGGCGCCGTTCTCCGCGCTCTGCCGGTCGACGGCGATCCCCGTCTGCACGTAGGAGGCGGCGAGATCGCGATAGGCCTCGCGCGGCCGGCGGGAGCGCGAATCCTGGTGAAAGCCGAACTCGGCCGCAGCGCCCGGCGGCTTCCAGTGCAGCTGGTTGATGATCTGCTTCAGGTCGCGGCCGATCAGCGGCTCCAGGATTTCCAGCAGGCGCGGATCGCGGCGCACGGCTTCCAGGTCTTCGTCGATCCAGCCGGGCCACTGCGCGAGGCGCAGCACCCGCCCGGCCTTGGGATCGTCGGCCAGCCGGAAAAAGGTGTTGCGGTCGCGCCAGCTGCGCCCGCCGGCCAGCGCCCGCGCGTGAATGCGGTCGAAGGCCGCCGCCATGGCCGCCACCTCGGCGGCGTCGAAAACGCCGCGGACCACGGCATAGCCCTCGGCCCGGAACTGCGCGACATGGTCCTGGTTCTTCGGTTCCGGGTTCATCGGTTCCGGACTGCCCCCCAATGGTCTGACCCAGTGATCTGACCCAGTGGTCTGACCCTCCGGCTTCCTGCATAGCACGAAGCCCGCGCGAAATCTCGATGCGGCAGTCCGGGCCTGCAGTCCGGGCCTGCACTCCGGGCCTGCGGGACGCAGGCTGGGTCTTTTCTGTGAACCTTTGTGCGGGCCGCCACGACTTAGGACTACGGCTGCAGCCCTACCCGGCTGAAACCGCCCTGCCGCAAAGCCCGCATCGGGTCCCGGGACCGGGACCCCTGCGCCCACACCCGTTTGTATTTGGAGAGTTCCGGTGACCCCGACACAGAAGCAAGTGATTAAGGAAACCTGGCGGCAGATCACGCCCATCGCCGAAGCGGCGGCAACGGTGTTCTACAACCGCCTGTTCGAGATCGACCCCTCCCTCAAACCCCTCTTCGCCAAGACCGACATGGAAAAGCAGGGTCAGAAGCTGATGCAGGCCATCAACCATGTGGTGGCCGGCCTTGAAGCGCCCGAAGCCCTGATGCCGGTGTTGCAGGATCTCGGGCGGCGTCACGCCGGCTACGGCGTGACCGAAGGGCATTACGACACCGTGGGCGCCGCCCTGCTGTGGACTCTTGAGAGGGGTCTGGGCAATTGCTGGAGCGACGACGCCAGAGAAGCCTGGGCCGCGGCCTATGCGCTGATCGCCGAGGTCATGATCGAGGCGGCCAGAGAAGCGGCCTAGGAGAAACAGTTTAGCGTTTCGCGTTGTCGGTCAGGATCTCGGCCAGGGCCTCGATCTTGGCCGAGCCCGCCCCCTTGCGCCAGAACAGCATGGTCCAGACCTTGTCCTGGCCTTCGGGCAGGGGGTGCAGAGAGAGGCGCTTGCGCTCCGGATAGGTGGCCAGCACGCTCCTGGGCAGCAGCGTGATTCCCATACCGACCAGCACGCAGCCCAGCATGGCGTAGTAGGAGGCGAGCTGGAGGACCTGGGCCGGCGTCTCTCCGCGGGCGGCGTACCAGTCCTCCAGGAGCCTGCGATGCGGGCAGCCGTGTTCGAAGGCGATCATGGTGCGCGGTGCAGGCCTGTCCGCAATGATCGGCGGCTGGCTTTCCTCGGCAATCAGAACAAGGTCCTCTTCGAAGACCGGGATCTGGTCGAACTGCTCCGGCGCGATGGGCTCCGCCGCCAGGGCGGCATCCAACTCGCCCGCCAGAACGGCGCGGGCCAGCTGCACCGGGTTGCCCGTGCGCAGCTCCACGTTCACCTCCGGATGGCGCTTGATGTAGGCGCTCAAGGGGGCGGGCAGGCGTACCGCCGCCGTGCTCTCCATGGAGCCGAGGCGGAGGGTGCCGCGCGGCCGCGAGTCCTGCACCGCTTCGCGCGCCTCCTCGGCCAGGTCCAGGAGCCGCTCCGCATAGTCCAACAGCACTTGCCCCGCCGGGGCCAGGTGCAGGCGCTTGCCCTCGCGGATGAACAGCGCGACGCCGAGGTCGGCCTCCAACTGCCGCACCCTTGTGGTGACGTTGGACTGCACGCGGTGCAGGCGCTCGGCGGCCCGGGTGATGCCGCCTTCCGCGACGACGGCGCGGAAGATCCTGAGGTCGGAAAGGTCCATCATCTCATCTAGAGAATAATTAGATCATATAAATTCATTTTATGTGATGTATGAAGGTTGGTAAACCCACCTCGGCACGGCGTCCCAATCAGTCTGCTCGGGAAGACTATCCGAAAGGACCCGATTGAACGGGCTCTTGGGGACGCCGGAGGCGCTGCTTTGCTGTTATTCTAAGGACTGTATTCACGCAGAAGCCGGTCTGCGGTTCGGGTCCGCCGTATGGGGCGGGAGAATCGCGGCGCCGCACGGTTTCTATACTTTGAGGACTGTTGGAGCGAACCAATGACCCCGCAACACGTTGAAACCCTGCGTGCGACCTGGCAGAAAGTTCTGCCGATCGGCGATACCGCCGCCCGGCTGTTCTACAACCGCCTGTTCGAAATCGACCCCGCTGCCGAGCAGCTTTTCGCCGGCACCGACATGGCCCTGCAGCGCCAGAAGCTGCTGCAGACTCTGAACGCGGCCATCGGCGGCCTGGACAATCTTGAGGGCCTGGCCCCCGTGCTTCAGGACCTCGGGCGCCGCCATGCCGACTATGGCGTTTCTGACTCGCATTACGACTCTGTCGGCGCCGCCTTGCTTTGGGCTCTGGAACAGGGCCTGGGCGACGACTGGACGCCGGAGGCCAAGGAAGCCTGGACCACCGCCTATGGTCTGATCGCGGAGACCATGCGCGCCGCTGCCGAGCAGCAGGCGGCCAGAGCCTGATCTCTATAGAGCCTGATCTCTATTCCGGCGCCTCGCTGCCACGGCTGCGATCGTGCTTTTCCTTTTCGTGTTCATCAAGACCAGGAGGACTCTCAATGGTCGCCTATTGGATTGCCCATGTGACCGTTACCGACGAAGACGTTTACGGCGAGTATGTGAAGCGGGCCGGCAAGATCGTGCAGGCCCACGGCGGGCGCTTCCTCGCCCGCGGCGGACGCCACGTCACCAAGGAGGGGACGGACCATGCCCGCAACGTGGTGGCGGAGTTTCCGAGCTTCGAGGCCGCCGTCGGCTGCTACGAATCGCCGGAGTATGCGGAGGCGCTGACCTTCTCAGGTCGTTCCTCCGTGCGTCACGTCTCCATCGTCGAGGGCGCTTGAGAGTCTGACCGTCCGGTTTTGGAGCGGGACTTGCCGCGCGTTTTCTGCGAGTGCTGCGCCAGGTCCCGCTCCCGCCCGGGGCGCTGGCGCTCGAAGGGGGCGAGGGCCGAGAGCATCAGCCAGTCCGGCAGCGCGCGCTTCTTGGCGCTCGGGCCTTCCAGGCGGATGCTGCCCTTGGCGATCTCGCGCTTGAGGGAGCGCAGGCCGCGCCAGGCCTCGATGAAGAGGCGCAGGTCCGCCATCACCTTCACGTCGACCTCGTAACCCGGGTCCTTCAGGCACATCTCCACTTCGCCATCGCTGTTCACGAGCCAGAAGCGCCGGCAGTCGCTGGGCGCCCCGGAGAACTCGAAGGCCAGAACGGTGCGGCCCGGCGGCATGGCCTCGGTATTCAGGCGGGTATGCATGCTCCAGACCAGGAAGCCGGGGTCGAGGTCCTCGGCCGTCATGTCGCGGGCCCAGCGCTGGCCCCAGACCGCGAGATCCATGATCAGCGGCTCCAGCTCCCAGCCGGCCTCGGTCGGAAAGTACGCGTAGCCGCGCCCGCCGGGCAGCGGCCGCCGTTCGGCGATGCCGGCGTCTTCCAGCTGTGCCAGGCGCTGTGACAGCAGGCTGGCGGACATCCGCGGGACGCCGCGGTGGATTTCGTTGAAGCGGCGGCAGCCGTCGATAAGGCGGCTCAGCACCAGAATGGACCAACGCTCCCCCAGCACTTCGCAGGCCAGGGACAGGGGGCAATACTGCCCGTATCCGCGGGTCATGAGGGCCTCCTCTCTGCTGCGGCAAGACTCAGGATGCGCCGAAGGCGGACCACCGTCCACTCCAGATTTAGGAGTAGTTTGCGGGTCTGAGCATGGACAGACTGCCGCCAAAGCCGCGTCTCAAGAGCCACGGAGGCACCCCCGATGACCCCTTCTCTGCGCCCGCAGGCATTGGCCGCAGACCTCTCGGATCGCAGCCTTGACGCCGCCGCGGTGGCGGCCTTCGCCGCGCGCCTGCGTGGACGCCTGGTCGACCGCCAGGCCCCCGATTACGAGGCGGTGCGTGCCGTCTGGAACGCCATGATCGACCGCCGACCCCTGCTGATTGCCGTCTGTTCCGGCGTCGCCGACGTGATCGAGGCCGTGACCTTCGCCCGAGATCAGGGCCTGCCCCTGGCGGTGCGCGGCGGCGGCCACAACATCGGCGGTTCGGCGCTCTGCGACGACGGTCTTGTGATCGATCTTTCGCAGATGCGCGCCGCGCGGGTGGATGCGGAAGCGAAGCGCGCCTGGGTGCAGGGCGGCGCCCTGCTGGGCGATCTCGACCGCGAAACCCAGGCCTTCGGGCTTGCGACACCGGGCGGCGTCATCTCCCACACCGGCGTGGCCGGCCTCACGCTGGGCGGCGGCTTCGGCTGGCTGTCGCGCAAGTACGGCCTGACCGCCGACAACCTGCTGGCGGTCGAACTGGTGACGGCGGAGGGGCAGCTGATCCGTGCTTCGGCGGAAGAGCACCCCGATCTGTTCTGGGCGCTGCGCGGCGGCGGCGGCAACTTCGGCGTGGCGGTCGGCTTCGAGTTCCGTCTCCATCCCGTGGGCCCGGAGGTGCTGTTCGGGCCGACCCTCTATCCGCTGGACCAGGCCGCTGCGGTGCTGCGCAACTTCCGCAACGTCGCCCCCGGCCTGCCACCGGAGGCCTGTGCCTGGGCCGACATGCTGACCGTGCCGCCGCTTCCCTTTCTCGACCCGCGCCATCACGGCACCCGGATGATCTCGGTGATGCAGTGCTATGCCGGCAAACCGGAGGACGGCGAAGCGGCGCTGGCACCGCTGCGCGGCTTTGGCGACCCGGTCGCCGATGCGGTCATGGCCCGGCCCTATACCGAGGCGCAGTCGATCTCGGACAGCTTCTTCGGCCACGGGCTGCGCAACTACTGGACCTCGGCCAACTACACGACCCTGAGCGACCGCAGCCTCGATGCCTTCGTCGAGCTTGCATCGAGAACGCCGACGCCACAGTCGGAGGTGATGATCCACCTCGTGGGCGGGGCGATCAACGATGTCGCGCCTGACGCCACCGCCTATCCTCACCGCGATGCGGTTTTCGTGCTCAGCCCCGGCGCGCGCTGGAGCGACCCGGGCGACGACGCAACCTGCCTGGCCTGGATCGCCGACTGCCGCAAGGCCCTGGCGGAGGAGTCGAACGGCGGCACTTACGTGAACTTCATCGCCGAGGGCGTCGGCCGCGAGCGGGAGGCCTATGGCCGCAACTACGCGCGCCTCGCCGCAGTGAAGCGCCGCTACGACCCGGACAATCTCTTCCGCATCAACCAGAACGTGGCGCCGTCATAACCGCGCCATGCAGGACGTCAGGCCGCGTCCCGCATCTTCCGGGCCGCCGCCGTCACCGCCTCGATCGTCGGATAGTTGGCCCGGTTCACCATCATGTCACGGGCGAGCCTGAGGCAACGGGTCTCGCAGGCAGCGCGGCGGTCCAGGTCTTCGATCCATTCCAGGTCGATGTTGTGAGCGAGGCCCAGGATGCGGCGGATCATCTTGGCGGCGGCGAAACCGACGCTGTCGGTGAAGAGGCGGTCCATGTAGGCCTCCTGTTCGGCCTTCAGCGCTTCGGCGCCGGCGGTATCGGCAAAGAGCGCGGCCGGGTAGGCATCCCCTGTCGCTCCGTTACGCCAGAGCGCCAGAAATTTGGCACGGAAGCCGGTCCAGACGCCCTCGGTCGCCGCCAGCACCCAGTCCTGATAGCTCTCGCGCGGGTCCTCCGGCGTCGCGTGGCCGTCCTGGCTGAAGTAGTTGATCAGCAGGTTGGCGATGACGGCGCCGATGTCGAAGCCCATGGGTCCGTAGAAGGCGAACTCCGGGTCGATCACCCGGGTGTCGTCTTCGGTCACCATGACGGAGCCGGTGTGCAGGTCGCCGTGGATCAGCGCCTGGGCCTCCGACAGGAACTTCAGCTTGAGGCGCGAGACCGCCACCTTCAGCGCCGCGTCCTCGCGGAACTCCCGGGCGATGCCGTCGAGCTGCGGCGTCGTCCAGCGGTTGTTCTCGGCGATCCTGTAGGGCTCGGTGAAGATCAGGTCCTCGGTGATCTTGCAGAGCGCGGTGTTGCCGCAGAATTCGGCCATGGCGGCCTTCTTCTCCTCCGCCGTGAGCGCGAGGTCCGAGGTGCCGAAGAGCGTGCCCGCCATGAAGGTGGTGATCGCCTCAACGAAGCCCGGATAGCGCACCGCTTTGATCATGCCCTGGCGCATGATGATGTGCGGCTGCAGCAGTTCCATGACGATGAGCGCCAGGGTCTGGTCGTAGTGCAGGATGTCGGGCACCAGGCCGGGCGCGTGCTGCGCTTCGGTGGCGAGCGCCATCTGCTCGAAGTGGGCGCGGCTGAGCGGCAGCGGCCAGGATTCGCCGACAAGGCGCACGTAGGGCAGGGCCTGTTTCACCGCGACGCCGCCGGCGGGTCCCTCGACGATGAAGACCAGGTTCAGGTTGCCGTCGCCGACCTCCCGCACCCGCCAATCGCCGGCCGCGCCGCCGAGGTGCGCCGCGACGGCCGAGACACCGGACAGGTAGGCCGCCAGGCTGGCTTCGCTCTTCGGCTCGTAGCCCTCCGGCACCGGCAAACCGCCGGCTGTCCGTTCCCCGTCCGTCGATTCCCTGGCCACCATGCAAGACCCTCCCTTTTTTGCCTGCTTCGATCTTTTTCGCCTCGGCCTTGGCCGGGCCGCAGGATAGCAGCGGGCGGCGCAGACGCCAGACGGACCCGTAAAGGCGTGTCCGGTCAATCGTTTAGCGGAAATGGATGATTCTGCAGTCGGGGTATCAGGAAGTGTTACTCCCTGTGGGAAAACTCACCGTACGCGCGATCAGCCTGAACCATAGTGTATGGGCAGCCGACCAATGCTGCATCGTCCCCCTCAGGGGCAAGCCGCACCACACGCCTTTCACCGCCAAGGCTAAAAAACTAGGAGAGCCCTGTGCCCAAGTTCTTTCGGGCCAGCCTGCTGGCCTTGGCGACATCCGCGGCCCTGAGTGCCCCGGCGTCCGCCGATATCAAACTCATCAAGGATGCCTCTTTCGGCGCTTCCGACAGCTATCTGAACAACCCCCCGGCGCTGGTCTTCGTGCCCAAGAACGGCAAATACGAGGTGCAGAAGTCGGGGAACTACCAGGTCAAGCTGCACCTCAAGGCGGAAAAGAAGTGGAATGGCCGGATCACCAAATGGGAAATCGTGGAGACGAGCGCCGGCGGTGGCACGATCGCCAGCAATGGCTTTCAGGACAGCTCTCTGAAGAAGCTCAATAAGACGGTCACCTTGAAGATCGACTGGAACAAGCTGAAGCACTTCGAGGCGAAGGGCCGCAAGGTCTGTGAGCAGCACGGCAAGCCGGACGAGAAAGTCATCAAGTCCATTAAAGGAGTACGCTTCGAGTTCTCCAGCTTTATCAAAGCCCAGAACAAGAACAGGACCGATACCTGGAAGGACTGGGATTACGTGCCGATCCGCGTCGTCTGCATGCCGGAGCCCTTCGCCGTGAAGGACGTGAAGCTGTCGGTGAAGTTCCACAGCTCGCCGTTCCAGTGCCCGGTGAAAGCCACCCTGAAGGCCGAGTTCGAGGGCAACAAGCCCGGCACCTTCAAGTTCCGGATCTTCCGCGATGACGCCGCCACCCAGGACCTCGTCACCCAGGACGTCACCCGGACCATCGGCAATGCCGGGAAAGTCAGCTACACCAAGCACTACACCTTCAAGAAGGCGGCGAAGCGCAAGTATCTGATCGCGGTGATCGGCCACCCGGTCGCCACCCAGTGGGTGCCTATGAACGTGAACTGCAACCCGAAGATCGACGGGTTCCAGGCCCCGACCAAGCCGCAGACCACCAACTACTGACGCTTAGGCCGTCTTAGAGGATGGAGCGGTGCTGCGCTGCGCCGCTCCGTCCCGGCCCCGCGCGAGACCGTTTTTACCCCCGCGTCTGAACCCCAACCCCAACCTTTTCGACAGACTAGTCACCGCCTCGTTAGGGGGCGCACCTCAATCCTTGCCTTTCCACCGCCGGGGCAGTTCCAACTAGGGAGATTTTTTCGTGTCCAGGTTACTGAAAACGACTTTATTGGCTCTGACCGCGGTGGCTCCCCTGGTGACCGGCGTCCTGAGCGGCCCGGCTCTTGCGGCGAGCGGCGGCATGAAGAACACATCATTCTCGGCCACACCTGTAGGCGATCTGCCGACCCTGGTTTTCCAGGAGAAGAATGGCAAGTACGTCTTGGGGAAGGGAGGGCCGAAGGCCACCATCAAGTTCCGTGTGAAAGCAGAGAAGAGGAGGAGCTTTCGGATTGTCGGGTATCGTATCGATAGTATGAATTCGGAAAGAAAGCGGATCACTCAGGTCCGGAACTTTTCCGTGAAGAAACTCGACAAAACGATCATGCACGAGATCAAGCCGGCCGAATTGCAGACCTTCACTGAGCTGGGCCGCAAGGTTTGTGAAGACGAGGGCGACCTGCAACAGGAGATCAGGAAGACCATCAAATCCGGCTCGACCTACATGCTTTCCCTAACAGCGCGCAGAAAGCAGATTGGCGGATATGGGTTCGATTACCGCTACGCCTATGCATCCGTTCCCGTCCGAATCATCTGCAAGCCCGAGCCCTTGAGGGTGATCGACGCCGACCTCACGGTGAAGTTCGACGGCTCGCCCTTCAGTTGCCCGGTGAAGGCGACGCTGACGGCGAAGTTCAAGACCAACAAGCCCGGCACCTTCAAGTTCAACCTTTACCGCGGCGATGGCGAAGTCCAGACGGTCACAAGAACCGCCGGCGCATCCAACACCGTGACTTTCACGAAGCGTTACACCATCAAGAAGCCCACCAACCGCAAGTATCTGGTCGCCACGATCCCGTCCGGCGCCGCGAGCGGCTGGGTGCCGATGAAGGTGCATTGCAACGGCAACGCCGGCGGCATCCAGGCGCCGAAGAACCCTCACTCCACCAACCACTAACCTGAAACCCTTTGCAAAGACGCCGGCGCCCCGGGAAACGGGGCGCCGGTTTTTTTGTATTGGTGTCTTCGCGCCGTGTCGCCGGCGAGGGGCTTGGCCGGCCTTGGTCCCTTGACTTCGGCATCGCTGCCGAAGAATGATATCCTCAGCGTCGCAAAGCGCTTCGCAAGGCACGGAACGCGAACAAAAAAGAAGGCACCGGGGAGGACAGAGGGCATGCAGGCTGGTGCAGCCTCGGCCGCGTGGGGGGTCGTTTCGGTCCGTTCTGCAATCGATTGTGCAGTGGAGAACTGCGCTGGGAAATGCACGGCGGGCTGCGCAGGAGACCCTGCGGTATCCGGACGTTTTGAAGCCTTTCTGACGCCGGTGCGCGCCTGATGGCGGAGACCACCGCGGCCGCGGAACTCCCCGGCGCGCAGCCTGAGACGGCGGGCCCGCTGGACCGCGGCGATCCCGCGACCTACCCGGAATGGTTCACGACGCGCAAGCCGCGCGCCAACCTGATCGTCGCGCGCTGGGTGCCCATCGCCCTGGTCGGCCTGCCGGTGCTGGTGCTGTTCTGCATCGTGGTCTATCCGACGGTCTGGATGTTCTACCATGCGCTGCATGACACCAACATGATGCGACTGTTCCAGGGCAACTGGAACTATATCGGCTTCGAGAACTTCGCCACGGTGCTGAACTCCGACCGCTTCGGCGATTCGGTGGTGCATCTGGGCATCTACCTCACCTTCGGCGCCTGTCTGCAGGTGATCCTCGGCACAATCCTGGCCCTCATCCTCTATGAACTGGTGAAGAGCAACGCCCTTCGGGTCGTCCTGCTGATCGCCATGGTGCTGCCGATGATGCTGCCGCCCTCGATCGTCGGCGTGCTGTGGAAGTTCCTGCTCACCCCCTCCAACGGCGCCATCAACCAGGCGCTCCTGAACCTGGGGCTCATCGACCAGCATATCGAGTGGTTCAACGCCGGGCTCTCGCTCTGGACCATCATCATCGCAGACGTCTGGAACTGGACGGCGCTGCCGCTGCTGATCGTCTACTCGGGCCGTGTCTCCCTGCCGCCGGCGGTCTATGAGGCGGCGCGGGTCGACGGGGCGGGCGCCTGGACCACGCTCAGGCGCATCACCCTGCCGATGCTGAAGGAGGTGATTGCCATCGCCTTCATCGTGCGCTTCATGGATGCCTTCAAGTTCGTCGACCTGGTTTTCATCATGACTTCCGGCGGGCCGGCCCAGTCTTCCGAATTGCCGGCCTACATCGCCTTCCAGCGCGGCATCCGCGAGTTCGCCATCGGCGAGGCGGCGGCCTACGCCATCGTCATCTTCATCGTCTCCGCCGTGCTCATCACCCTCTTCCTGAAGTATCTGAAGAAGGTGCTGAAGGCGCAGGGATTTGCGTGAGGGCGGCATGAGCAAATCCAACTACCGCCTCGTCAAGCTGCTGTTCCTGTCCTTCATGGGCCTGTGGCTGCTGATCACGCTGTTCCCCTTCTACTGGCAGGTCATCACCGCCTTCAAGTCGGCGGCGGAGACCAACCGCACCATCCCGACCTTCTGGCCGGAGGTCTGGCATCCGCAGAACTTCGTCTCGGTTTTCGCCGAGGCCTCCAACTTCAACGCCCTGGTCGACAGCTTCATCATCGCCACCGGCAACACCCTGGCCTCGCTCTTCCTGGGCACCCTGGCGGGCTATGCCTTCGCCCGTTTTCCGCGCCAGGCCGGTGGCGAGAACCTGGCCTTCTGGGTGCTCTCAAACCGCATGTTCCCGCCGGTCGCCGTGGTGCTGCCGATGTTCTTCCTCTTCGACGCGACGCCCTGGGGCACCGACAGCCATATCTCCCTGATCATCCTCTACCTGGTCTTCAACATGCCGCTGGCGACCTGGCTGATGATGGTTTTTTTCCGCGACGCGCCGCGGGAACTGGAGGAGGCGGCCTATCTGGACGGCTACACCCCCTTCCGCGCCTTCTTCAAGGTGACGTTGCCGCTGGTGCTGCCGGGCATGATCTCCGTCGCCATGCTGTGCTGGATCTTCGCCTGGAACGAATACCTCTTCGCCAACCTGCTGGTCGGCACCGACGTGCGCACCTACACCATCGTCATCCCGACCTTCACCCACGGCAGCCAGACCCTCTGGAACCTGCAGATGGCCTTCAGCCTCATCGCCATGCTGCCGCCGGTGCTCCTCTTCATCCTGCTGCGCCGCTACATGGTGCGCGGCCTTTCTCTCGGCGTTGTGAAAGGCTGAAGCGATGTCGAGACTTGAAATCGAGGGACTCTGCAAGGGCTGGGACTTTCCGGTCATCGACCGCCTGGACCTGACGGTGGAGGAGGGCGAGTTCTTCGTCGTCGTCGGCCCCAGCGGCATCGGCAAGACCACGCTGCTGCGCCTCGTCGCCGGGCTGGAGCGGCCCGATGCCGGAACCATCCGCGTCGGCGGGCGCGACCTCACCGCTTTGCCGCCCTACCGCCGCAAGGTCGCCATGACCTTCGAGAGCTATGCGCTCTATCCCCATCTGACGGTGTTCGAGAATATCGCCAGCCCCCTGCGGGCGCGGCGCCTGTCCAAGAGCCAGATCACCGAAACCGTGGTGGCGGTGGCGCAGCTGCTGCGCATCGAACAGCTGCTGAACCGCCGCCCGGGCGAGATCTCCGGCGGGCAGAAG